TTCATTAGCACTGTCGTCGCCCTCCTCCTCGTCCTCGCCGTCGTCGTCGTCCTCCTCCCCCTCCTCCTCTTCCTCTCCGCCCTCATCCCCATCCTCTCCCTTCTCCTCCCCATCCTGCCCCGAAAGAAAAGCAAGGCCTGCGGGGGGGCGCGTCGTCCTCCACGACCACGACGGCCATCCCCGCTGGCCGCGCGCGGGCCCCGAGCTTGGGCTTAAGCCCAAGCTGCTGTTCACATGAGCGCGTGTGAATATATATATATATATATATATATATATATATATATATATATGCACATCGCGCAGGCTCACGATTGTTGCCCACGCCATCTGAGGAAATTTCGAATGCGAGGGCGCAGAAGCAGCAGGCATCCCTCGGCGGTCTTCGGCGGCGCTCCTTCACTCATCCTCATCCTCATCATGGGCCCCCATCTTGCAATCCTCCTCAGGGGCCCCCATCCTGCCATCCTCCTAATCCTCCTCATCTTCGGCGCGCTCCTCGAGGCCACTATCCATCGTCCGATGGGGGGGGGATTACCTCCGACGCGCGAGCTCGCTCGGATGCCTCGGCCATGTCATCAAATTGCGCGAGGGCGCTGCTATAGCGCTACCTCGCAGGCGCGAACGCTGAACACGAACCGAATTCCCGGCGGCCTGGCAGGCTGATTATGGGCGGCTGGGCGAACGTGCTGTGAGCAAGCTTCCTCGATCCCCCCTCCCTCCCCCACCCCGCTACCCTTTCTTCCCACGTGGGCCTCTAGCGGCGGGGTAAGTCTTCAAACGCAAGATCGCACAGACGAAACAACTCAGAATATCTTTATGCAGGGATACTTGCGCACCCGATTATGAGAGGCACTGCGAATATGCATGGCCCCAACAGCTATAGTCACCAACTGCGAATGCGAACGTCAACACACCATTGCGAATACACCAAAATTGATATGAAAGCACCAGAATTGATGTGAATGCATAGTCCCGAGTATACAATCATCCAGGCACCAATGCGAATGCACCGCAAGTTATGTGAATCCTCCAGCACTCCAGTTCACAAATTACGTGAAGCGGTCCAACCCCGCTTTCGCCAGGCACATTTCGTACGACAGCGCAAAACTTTGGCCTCCCAGCTCCATTCCGACTTCTCCAGTCTGTTGTATAGCTTGCAAGACCCTGTACATCGTCATCCCTATGTCTAGGCGATTCTCTGTGTATGCGACGAGGCTCTTAAATCGATGTGGCACTAAGGCCGCCACGCAGATAGGTTCGTCATCTCTGATGGGGCTATATCTGTCCCCTGAAGACAACGGAATATACTGCCGCGTGAACGCACGACCCACTAGAAGTTCCCTCTCGCAACGGTTGTCAGGCTCTGATCTGTTCCGTCTGAAGTTTGGCGACCACAGCTCCACGCGAAAACTTTCAAAGTAAGTCATGAGTACTAGAGCGTCACCTGCATTCCAAGACATGCTTTCGAAAGCGTTCGTTTTGAAGTGTGCCGAGCTTTTCCATCTCTTCGAGCTCGCTTCATTTTCTAGGGATCCCCAGTGGGGAGACCCCCAGAACACGAGCCCGATCTTAAGATCAGGCTCCAACTTACTGAATACTTTGTATGTCGGATCCTCTTCGTCGAATCCGCTAACCCCGTGATATGGGCCAGCTGCGCCTCCGTCGGTGAGTACTTTAGTGTGCGCCAGCGTCTCCTGGTATAAACGAATGATGTCAGGATCTTGCTGTTCGGCATCTGGGCGTTTCTGCTCTTCCAAATCCGTGAGAATGAGATTTCTATATGGCGGCTGGTTCACAGTTACATCCATCGGCGATGAAACACTTTCGTCGATGCTCTGCTGGTTCATGATCGGCGTTCGATCTGCCAAAACAACAAAAATGCACGCTTGAGCCGAAATTGGCCTACGGAGGAAATTGGCCCTGTTTTTATTTGGGGTTATGTGTTTTCCACTGTTTCGGCCTCCCGAGGCCAACCCGCGGCAATAGGAGCACAAACGGAGCTGAACTCGGGCATCCACCGCGCAACTAGCGTCCCGAAGACTACGAATGATGTTGACGACGATGTTAATCGTGATGATGGTGTTGGTCTCAAGTCCCGGACCTACTTTTTAAGTCCCAGACTTATTTCCCATGTGTTGCGTCTTATATTTAAGTCCCGGACCTATGTTTTAAGTCCCTAGCCACCCTCTTGTACGCGTCAAGGCGCGGACTTAAAATTCCTAACATCGATGGCGCCTTCGTTGTTTTAACTCCTGCGCGCTCTTGTTAAGTCCTTAGGTCCCGCCCTCAATTTCCAAGGGCCCGCCCTCAGATTCCGAGGGCACGTGAAGGTCTGGGCATGCACCAACACCCCCCTCCTCCCGGACCCTTTTTCCCCGGAGGCACACTCTTCACTCTTATCTGATGTTGCGGGGTGCTGCATATTGCCCCACATGCCCCCGAGAGTCCTCGAAGGCAGTTCCAAGTGACCATGGAGCTCCCCAAACAATCCCCCAAGCAGTTCCCCAAACAGAGCCCAATACGCTCCTAAGAAAACCCCAAAGAGGGTCCAGAGCATCCTCGTCGTCGTTGTCGCCGCCGCTGCCGCCGTCGTCGTCGCACCCTGTCGTGATCGGCGGCGCCAGCCGAAAAAAACGCCAGTGCCCCCAGACCGAATTTCGTGTTGGTGACCTTCTGTTCGGGTGTCCAAAATCGGCCCCATTCGCTATGTAGGGGTGCGATCTGGCCAGAAGTGGCAAGAGGGTTCTCGGACTTTCATATAAACAGCGCGCCGACGAATTACCGTGTGACGTACCCAACCATGTTGCCTAGAATGACAGGAAAAGTTCGCCAAAACTTGCGAGGACAATGGCAGTGCAGGCGCCGTTACATGTTGTGCAAGCTTCATGGGATGCGCTCGCGCGGCACGGCTCACAGGATAACGACATAAAGACGAGGAGCGAGGTCTCCTGGTGGTCCGCGTGAAACGTCACTCCGCTGGACCCCCCAGCAGCCATCTAAAGTGGCGACGGTTTCGCAGATCGCAGCCCCCCAGTGATGGCGAGGTCTCCTGGAGGTCAGCGTTGGACGTCACTCCGCTGGACACCGCAGCATCCCTCGAAAGTGGCGTCAATTTCACAGATAGCAGCCCCACAGGGCTGGCGAAGTCGAATCCAAATCTTGGTAAGACAATACTCCGCTGGGCCCCCCAGCAGCCCTCCAAAGTGGCGACGGTTTCGCATATCATCGCAGCCCCCCCCCCCCAGGGATGGCGAGGTCTCATTTGAGTATGGGTAGGACGTCACCCCGCTGGAACCCCCAGCAGCCCTCGAAAGTGGCGACAATTTCGCAGATCGCAGCCCCCAAGGATGGCAGGATCTCATTTCAATGTGGGTAAGACGTCACTCCGCTAGGCTTCCCAGCAGCCCTCGAAGGAGGCGACAGTTTCGCAGATCGCAGCCCCCCACGGATGGCAAGGTCTCGTTTGAATCCGCGCGTGGCCCTCACTGTGCTGGGCCCCCCAGCAGGCCTCGAAAGTGGCGACAGTTTCACAGATCGCACCCCCCCAGGGATGGCGAGGTCTCATTTAAATCTGGGTAGGGCGTACCTCCGCTGGGCCCCCTAACAGCCCTTTGAAGTGGCGGCAGCCTCGCAGATCGCAGCCCCTCTCATTTGAACATGGCCACCCAACAGCCCTCGAACGAGGCGACGGTTTCGCAGATCGCAGCCCCCCAAGGATGGCGAGGTCGCAGTTGAATCTGGGTAGGGCGTACCTCCGCTGGGCCCCCCAGCAGCCCTCGAAGGTGGCGTCAACTTCGCAGAGATCGCAGCCCCCAGGGATGGCGAGGTCTCATTTGAATCTGGGTAGGACGTCACTCCGCTGGACCCCCAGCAGCCTTCGAAAGTGGCGACAGTCTCGCAGATCGCAGCCCCCAACGGATGGCGAGGCTGGACCCCCCAGCAGCCCTCGAAAGAGGCGACAGTTTCGCAGATCGCAGCCCCCCAGGGATGGCCAGGTAGGAGGCAAGCTGGCACGCAAGAAGAAGCGAGCTGGGAGGCGGACAAGAAAGAAGACAGGAGGAGTGAGGCGGAAAAAGGCGGGAGACGCGCGGGCAATGGTATATCCAAAACGAGTGCCCAACGCAGGATGGTTGGGAAGGCAGTTCCGCAGATCGCAGTTCCCCAAGAATGCCGAGGTCTCCGTAGAATCTGGGTAGGACGTCACTGCACTGGACCACCCAGCAGCCCTCGAAAGTGGCGACAGTTTCGCAGATCGCAGCCCCCCAAGGTTCAAGGTTCGTCGAACTAGAAATTCAAAATCCTCTTCCTCCCCCTTCTCCTCCTCCTGCTTGCGCAGACCCCGCGACTACAGACATCCGACGATGATTTGTTCTCAATCTGCAGCCCCATGAACTTCTGACAGCTTCTCCAAGGGCACATGCTTCTCTGGGACAACTTGCAGATGGTCTCGGGACCTGACAACAATTCCTGGAGGCCGAACGTCTGCAAAACACATTCGATTGTACATCAACCAGTCCGCTGGGCGTCAGAAACGAGCGCTTGATGGAGGCCTCCCAAGTGGGGGCCGAGTAGATGGGGTCGGAGTATCACGCCGTATCGCTGATGTATCGGCGATGCATTCGCAACGTCGGCGCTGAGAAGATCGGGCACGACAGCGAGCCGCATGGCCAATGCATCGGCGATGCGGCGCCGTCCGCGGAGCCCGAATGCTTCGACCCCATGTGGCAGGCGTGGACACAGTCGGTTGGAGGCCAAGAAATGGGCACCAACACCAACACAGGGGGTTGCCTCCACATGGTGAGGATGATCCTAGATTTCGGTGTTGGTGGCAATATTTTGGTCACCTCGGAAGCCAGAATATTACCACCATCACCGAGATCGGGATCGTCTTCCCTCGGTGGAGGCACACCGCCGATCTTGGTGTTGGTGTCCACCTCTAGGCCTGCGAATCGGTTGGACGTCTGGGACACGCGCTTGCGGCTCTTGGGGGGGGGGCGGGCCTAGGTCCTGGAAGCCCCACTTGCCGCTGTCGCCCCCCGAGGCGCTGAGCCGCCGCGAGAGCAGCCGCCGCCCGCCCGGGGGCGCGTCCGTGTCCCCCTCCGCCGGCGCGCGGGCAGGGGCCGGGCGGGATGCACGGTGCAACGAGAGAGCTCTCTGGCGGAACGGTCAACTGGTCCCTCGGAGGATGGGAGAGGATCCGTAAGGCATGCAGTAGTAACCCACACAGAACGCAGTGAAATGTGTGTAATGCTGTCTGCCCGTAGCTTTTGGCTCTCAGTGTGGAGGGAGCTCGACAACCAGTCCACCATTCCAAGAGGTGGGGGAGCCAGAAACAACCTAGCACAGTGCAGGTTGACCGCGAGGCCACAAAAGAGAGGGTGCAACGAGAGAGCTCTTTGGCGGAAAGGTCAGCTGGTCCCTCGGAGAATGGGAGAGGAGGCCAAGGGCGATGCTGGAGGCGAGGGCTCACCTACAGTGTGGGTCTCAGCGGTTGCGAGAGCGACGGGCAGAAGGCAGTGGTGCAACGACAGCACGGGACATGGCCTGGAGCCTCTCGGGCAAGCGCGCCGCTGGCACCCTGATGCCGCTCGCGCGCAAACGAAACGAGACATAAAGGAGGCGAAAGGTGGTGAAAACGCTGGACGGGCGGAAACCGAGACCTCCGAGGTCGTGACTTCCTCGGGGCGATGGGGCCCCTGGGCCTCTGGACCCCCGGGCCTCTGGACCCCCAGCCCCAGGACCAGCTCCGCGTCGCGGGCCGTGCCCGATGGCCCTGGGGCCCGCGGGCCCACAACTGGGAGACCGACCCGACGGTGGCGATCCTTTCGCGACGCCCAGGGGGGGCCTGCGGGGGGGCGGGGCTGGCGAGAGTGGGGGGCAGGGCGGGAACCTTCGGTGTCCGCCGAGGTCTGCTGCCGCGGGGCCGCCTGGTCCGCTCGTGGCTGCCTGCAGCTTCCTGCACCGATTCCTCACCATGCCAGCAGCAGGGAGAGTATCCGAGCGGCAGCTCCGACGGCCAGCGGGGGCGCAAACTCGATGGGCGCCGACAGCATCTCGTGGTACCGCTGGCCGGCATCGCTCCAGCCCGCGACCTCGCTGCCACGACCGACTCCCTTCGCAACATCTGGAAGTGAGCATTTGTGCACCAAAGGATGCGGACATCCTCCCGAACACACATTGTACACATAACTGATTGAACGACTTGCGCTGGCGAGCCTTGAAGGGTTCTGTCCACTACTATTACGGGCCTCCTAGATGATGTCCGAGTAGATCGAGTCGGAAGATCACGCCGCACCGCCGATGCACCGCCGATGCATCGCCGATGCATCAGCGATGCACCGTCGATACATCAACGATGCATTGGCGACGTCGGCGGTGCATCGCCGACGCCAGCGCGGAGCAAATCGGGCTCTGCATCGAGCCTCATGGCCGTTGCGCTGGCGATGCGGCGCGATCCTTCGACCCCACGTGCTCGGACCCCATGTCGGGGCTGGACAGAACCGCCTGAACCAAAGAGCCCAGGTCGGGCCTGTCGCCCTACGGGGGGATGTTGCAGGAACCCAAATACATAGTAAAACAAATACTCCCAAATGGTCGAAAAATACACGGGAAATCGTCCCCATACTATCTTTTTACTATGTTTGAAATACTCCCCTTGTAGAGGGACAGGCCCGACTCAACCCTACGCGCCGTGAGAGCCGCAAGGGGCGCCCCGACCGACGCGCCCTGCCGACGTCCCGACAACTCCGCGACGCGGCTGCGGCGCCGCTGCCGCTCCACCGCGGCCCAGGCGCCGGCTCTCTTTCATAACGCCGCCGCCGACGAGCGCCAGGGAGACACGCGAGACTCGGGCTCGGGGGGACTCGGGGGGTCAGGAGGCAACTACTAGGAGGTTTTCGTCGGAAAGATTGAAGAGGATTAAGCCCCATTGGGGGGCTGTTATGCCGGAGTGGGCCTCGGATTAAGCCGGATTAAGCGGGATTAAGCCAGATTTCGGACCAGGACAAAAACAGAATTTGACCTCGCAGGAATTGCATCCGAATCGGGGGGACTTGGCTTGGCCTGACGCAGCCATCGTGACGACGACGAGAGACCCCGTCTGAAAGCTGACGCGCGCTCCCGCGGCAGACACATCCCACGGACGCTGGACCGTCCAAATCCGGGACGCGCTCGTCCAAAAAGGCGTCGGCAGAGCCGAGTCCCGGCGCACTCGAGCGTAAAGCTTCCCCGATTCAACGCCGTCACCGACGAGGGGGGGGGGGGGCGAAGGAGGAGGAGGAGGAGGAGGAGGAGGAGGAGGAGCAAGCGCAGGAGGAGGATGAGGAGGAAGGGGAGGGAGGAGGAGGGAGGAGGAGGAGAAGGAGGAGGAGGAGGAGGAGGAGGAGGAGGAGGAGGAGGAGGAGAGACAGGTTCTCTGGGCGCCAGAACTGCCGAGCGCCCCCCGCGCTCTTCCGAGAGGCGCGGGAGGCGCGAGCGGCGCGCGCTCGGAGTCGTCGAACTCTCGCGCCGCCCCCCCCCCGCTCGGCGACCCGCGGCGCGATCCTTCGACCCCACCTGCTCGGACCCCACCTGGGAGGCATACAGTGCGGGCGCGGTCGCACGAGACCCTCGCAAGAGACCTAACCCTGAAAACCCGCGCGCGAGGTGCACCTGAAGGGAAACCTGGAGCACCCTGAACGCAGCAGGTACTTTGACTGCCGCGGGAAGTCACCACGCAGCGCGCGGAGCGAAGAAACCAAGGGCACCCTGACGAAGAGCAGATGGTTTTTTGATGCGCGCCCCAATTGTACGGTCAAAATGTGTATTAAGGGGACGGGTGGTACCCTTAGAGGCCGAATATTGAATTTGTCTTGGGCGGCGGGCGACGGGTGAAAACGGCAAAGGACGAGCTTCAGAGGCCAGGACACCAGGGCGCCCTAGATGAAGGCGCGCGTCCTTGCTAGGTGCGTGGGCTGTGGAAACTGAGCGTGGCGGCGGCAGCGAACGCGGTATACCGTGGCCGTGCTCCTCCCCCTCCCCCAGGAGCGCCCCCCCGCGCAGGGGTCCAGCGCCGACCCAAGCAAACCGCGCGGAGCTCCGAGAAATGACGGTCATGCAAGGCTTGCTTGTGCGACTCACGGGGCTCTTTCGACCGACCCTGCAACTTGGGCAACGAACGAGTCTTGCGCGAGATGTGATAGCGACTTTCCGCGGCGGCATACGCGGGCCAACGGCGCGGCACCCTACATTGGAGATTGCAGCGCTTACGCGCGACCTTACGCGGGCAGCTTGCGCGCCAATGTCGGCGAAGACGACCCCGTTTTTGTTGCGTCTCTCACTTGGCGGCGCGCAGAGGTGGTACTGGGAGGGGGGAAGGCGTCTTCGACGCAATTCTTCTGAGAGTGCGTCCCCCCTTGTCCGACCCCTGCGCGTGAGAGAAGGCTTCTCAGAAGGAGGCTGCTTCTCAGAAGCCACTTGCCTTGCATCTATAGATAGAAAGTCCGCGCCCTCCAAGAGGCAGGAATTCTTCTGAGAAGCCTTCCCCCATCCACGTCACGCCCTCTAACAAGGAACAGGTCGACCCCTATCCCAGGCTTCGTGGGGTTTTCGAATGAACCAGAATCTTTGGGCCCAGTGTATCCCAAGGTTTGCCTCCTTCTCTGAGCAGTTTCATTCCTCGTCGGAACGTCGGGAGACTGGGAGGAGCAAGATCGCCTGCGACCCTCTGCGCGTGGCCGAGCAAACCTGCAAGAACGATCGCCTACACAAAGACGAAGCCAGGACGAAGATAGATTCGGGTGGGGACAGACCGATGACTCGCCATTGCTCGGACGCCCATTCCCCGTGCATGTCTCAGTTTTGTGCGTGGTTTTTCCGCCAAATGATCAAGGATGCTCCTCGATGGTCCTCGCCGAAGGAAAAATGCACACGTCCGAGCGATGCCAAGACAATACCTGAGATCCGGCGGCTCTGGAAGATGTCTCGGGCACCGCGCCCTTCCCAGAGCGTTCCGGAACGCTCTGGAACGGATTTGGCTGCGTCCTGGCGCCGTCCCGTGCACCCCTGCGGTGCGCCTACTGAGCATCGTGTGCGGCCGCCACCAAGCTCGCCGAGGCGGCCCCGTGCCGGGCCGCGAGGCGCCAGGCGGCTGGGGCGAGACCAGCTTCACGCAGCAGACTCCGCGCCCACCCTTTCCCGATCCCCCCCCTCGTCCGACCTCCTCCTCCTCCTCCTCCTCCCTCCTCCCTGCTCCCTCCTCCCTACTCCCCTCCCCGTTCCCCCTCCCCCCATCCATCCTCCATCCCCTGCCCTCCACCTCCTCCTCCTCCTCCTCCTCGTCCTCCTCCTCCTCCTCCTCCTCCTCCTCCTCCTCCTCCTCCTCCTCCCCCTCTTCGCTTTCTCCCCTTCCCTCCACCTCCTCCTCGCCCTCCGCATTCCCCCCCGATTCGTCCTACCCGAGACTCTTGCTGCCCAGCTGGCTCACCCCGCTCCTCAACACCCTCGGGCCATGCAAAGCCCGCGGATCTGGCGCGGAACGCTGGCGCCCTCCTGTGCCAACCCTTGGGGGGCGAGGTGGGGATGCATCCGTTGGGTGCCGCCACCATGGGGTCCGATTAAAATAAAAATAGATAAGGCTAATCGCGAAGCCCTTGGACCTTCCAAATTGGACACCATCGGATGTCGAAACTGGCTAAGGAATGGCCGTGGGTGGTCCGTACCGCGTTCTTGCCGTGGGTTTTGACTGAAGGTGGGGTAGGAGGATCGCGTCACATCGCCAACGCGTCGCCGACGCATCGGCGATGAGTCGACGATGGCTGCGATGCATCGGCGCCGTCGGCCTGAAGAAAATCGAGATCCACATCGAATCGCGTCGCCGATTCAGCGGCGATGCGGCGCGGTCCTCCGACCACTTCTACTCGTACCTCATTTGAAAGAGCTGGTTCAATAATTAGCCGTATCGAATTCGAAATCAATGTCGGCGGGCTCGCATACATGCTTTCCAGCTGTTCCGTAGCATCACCACCGTCGAACACCATCATCATCATCATCATCATCATCATCATCATCATCATCATCATCATCATCATCATCACCATAACCACCACCAGCAACATATTCACAATCAGCACCACCATAATATTCAATATCTTCACCATCATCATCATCATCATCATCATCATCAGCAGCAGCATCAGCATCAGCATCAGCATCAGCATCAGCATCATCGTCATCATCATCATCATGATCATAATCGCCTACATCCTCCTCCTCATCCTCATCCTCCTCCTCATCCTCCTAATCCTCTTCCTCCTCCTCCTCCTCCTCCTCATCCTCATCCTCCTCCTCCTCCTCCTCCTCCTCCTCCTCATCATCATCATCATCGTGCTCATCATCTGCACCATACTCATTTTGAGCGCCAGCCACACTTGGAAAGAACAATCGCAATGATCAACACAAACGCCACCGACAACCATATGATACTAGCATGTAGAGAGCATCTGTGCTTGTGGTCCGCACGGATCAGCTGCAGCCGGCACGTGTTCGAGGCACAGCCGAAGCGCGCACTGGATCTCTCTCGCGCAAGGGATGCGGAGGCAGCGTGCGCGCGCTTGGGGCGACCTGGACTAAAACTGGCCGCGGAGAGGCACCCGCAACCGACCGTCCTCACCGCTGGGTGGCGACATCCGAACCTCACCCCACCAACCATCGATTCTCTCCCGAGGCGATGTGAGGCGAGGGCAGGGTTTGGCCATGACCCCCGCCGCCCATCGAATTGCCTGAATCGTTAGATACCTCCTAGATGGGGTCCGAGTAGATGGGATCGGAGGATCTCGCCGCATCGCCGATATATGGCCGATGCATCGGCGATGCATCGGCCATGCACTGGCGACGTCGGCGATGCATCGGCGACGTCGGCGTGGAGAAAATCTGACCCCACATCGAGCCGCATCGCCGATGCATCGGCGGTGCGGCGCGATCCTCCGACCCCATCTGCTCGGACGGCCATTTTCCGATATTTTCTGGGTTCCTGTCTTCCCCCCCAATGCCCACATTTTCCCATGTTTTCTAGGGAATCGACGATTAAGTGTGTCTGTGTGGGTTTTTCCTCCTCCTGAATCTAGGAGGCCTGGAACCGTGGGTCGGCGGGGGTGAAATCTGGGATTCCGCCGCCGAACCGTCGTCGTGACCATCTGCGGGCTCGCGCTGAGGCCGGAGGCCGCCCTGGTGCGCCGCCTTCGGAGCAGGAGGCGCACGCGCCGAGCACACGGTTAGGTCGCCAGCAGCCTGCTGGCGACAGCCACGCACTGCACCCGCCGGTCGGCGGTCCAGAGACGGGGCCTTCAGGGGCCGGGGCCCCACAGCCTCAAACAATGAAGGCTCACCCTGCGACCCGCTTCCGAGCCTCAACGAAAAACGGCCTCTACATAATTCCTCGGAGGTTCGCGCGGACCACGTTCATGCCTTTCGTTTTTGCTTTCCGACCCCAGAGCCCCACCCCTCAGGGATCCAACTGTGAACCGACGCCAACAGATGCCTCCCCCGCCCTAGCCCACGAATCAGAACTGCAGTCACCCGAAAAACACTACGTATTTTCGTCGCAGCGCGGCAGAGGCAGTCCGCCGCATGCGCGCTCTAGTAGCCTGGGGCGTGGCGTACTAATTGTCAGGTGGAGGGGGGGCGACCGCAGAAAGCGGGCGTGGGGGAGGAGGGCACTCACCTCGCGAAAAGCTCCGGAAGGAGTGTCTAGAGTCTAGGGCGGCCAGCTGTTGCTGAGGCGACCTGGCAGGGCACGTGGACTGGCATCGCGCCCACACTCAGGGCATGGGGCAACGGCTGCAGGCGCTGAAAGCGTAAGCTTTGGCCTCGGTGCCTTATCACTAATCGGTTCCTCTTACCTGGGGCCTTGGCTATACCCGACTCAGGGCCCAATCTTTGAACCGCTGCCAACTGACGGCACGAGGCCGCGAAACTGGACAAAGCGGAGTAGAGAGGGCGCAACTTGGCACTAGCCAAACTGCCCGACGCGCGTCCGCCCAGGAACGCGGCGTCGGCTGCCGGCCCCTCTTGGCGGAGGCCGCCGCTACAATGGAGGGCTCCAGGAGAACGTTGTTTTAATTTTCGGCGATAGGCCGGGTGATCGGGGGGGAGAGGGGGTGGTGGGTGCTGGCCGGTAACCAGACCTTTTCGTATTTTTGGCAACTCCACGTATGCCCGCACGCATCAATACTGCGTACCCCCGTCGGACCTGCGCACCAGGCAAGGTCAAATTATCCGGGGGGGAAGTGGGTGGGTGGGTGGGGGGGGCGAGCGTTCCGCTAGCCCGGGTTACCGCCAGGCACTGAAAACAATAGTCTCCTGGGAGACGGCAACGAGTTCTGAAAAGACGGGGCAGGAACCCAGTGCGAGACAAATCTAGGGACAAGAAATGTCATAAACAGAAACGTTTGGATCTGTGCTGGGCTCCCCTCTGCCGCAAGGGGTCCCAACGCCGATCCCAAAAGGCTGCGCGGACCTCCGACAAAGTATGTTTATGTGTATGACGCTTTCACATTCGAACGAAGGCAGAGTTACCCTCAGGTTTGCCTCTGCTGGCGGAGAGGAAAATGACCACGAGGGAGGAAACGGGTTACGCTGGAGGTGAAGGGCAGCCATAGCAGCCCGTGAGAGGGAAAGCCCACTCCCCGACGTCTCGCCAGCCGTCAAAGGGACGAAAAGGAACGAGCGGGGCGGGAGAACGACGAACGCGCAGCCGAAGCGCAAGACTCGATTCACCATCAGCCTGTGCTGGTCCCTCGCCAGCGCATGGCGCCCGGGGCGTCCGAGGTCCTCAACGCCTCCGCTGCGTACGAGCCAGTGGCGTCCAGGAGCGATGTGTGCACTGGCTTGCGACCAGAAGCTGATCTTTGCCGCCTTGCCATCGCCGAGGGTCTGTGCAGAGGCCTCGCTGGCTGCGGAGACCGAGCCATCCGTGGCACCGCTAGCCGCGCCCTTGTGTCAGCTGGTCCTGCGCCGAGCCCCCGAAGGCCCTGGTCACCAAAGGGGCAAAACCGAGGGTGTCCCAGCCTGTCACCGAGCGGTACGGCAGGTTCACGTCGTGACGCCCCCGGCGTTGGTTTCTGACACCGCGTGGATCGTTCAGCCTTGAACGATCGGCCGTCCCCGCAACGTCCCATCGTTCAACATCGAGATTCTGGGTCGCCGCCGGCGTTCAACGTTGAACGCCGCCGGTGGGGCCGCCGCCGGTCGACCCGACGCGAGCCTGCCGTACATGATGCCCCTGTGGGTGGTGTGCCGAAGGAGGAGGAGGAGGAGGAGGAGGAGGAGGAGGAGGAAACAGGGCAAACACGGCCGCACCCCTCAGCACTGCATCCTCCCTCGCGGCTCCGCCCGTCCCGCCCCGGGGAGCGAGACGCGGCCGCGCGTATGCCACACTTGCTCCGTTCGCCTGCCCATTACTGGTGGGCTTGTTTTCCACCACCACCACCAGCATAAGTAGGAGGGGGAGGGGGTCCTCCTCCTCCTCCTCCTCCTCCTCCTCCTCCTCCTCCTCCTCGTCCTCCACCACCTCCTTCCCCCCTCCAACTTATGGTGGTGGTGGTGGTGGTGGTGGAAAACAAGCCCATCCATCACCGCGACCCCTCAGCAGGTCGCGGCTCGACGTGCGCATAAACGACAATGCCACTCCCCTCTGGAAGCCGTCAAGGCGAGCGAATCGCTCTCCGCAGGGCTGAACCTAAACGGTGTTTTTCATTTCGTGTTCGTTTTCCTTCGTTTTGTCTCCAATCCGCCTCTACCGCAAAATGAAGTCGAAACGAAAACGGCCCACGAAATCGCCAAAACACCGTTTAGGTCCAGGTCTGGCTCTCCGCAGAGGGAAAGCGCCTGCGAGGTGGCACGCGTTACTCGGAAGCTCGGTGGCGACGCGCGGGAGGAGAACCCACCTGGCCACTGGATATGACGATACCGATGCACTTTCACGTGGCGAAAGCCTTACGATGAGTAGTGGCACGTTGGGCTCGTATCCGCTTGGACACCTGGTCGCGCCCTTCAGCTAGAGCGGCCCGAGCCTTGTGGACTACAAGTGGGGACGGTTAGCATGAGCATGACTGCGAGAAAAGCGAGAAGAGATGACAATGCCCCGCCCACGGGCGCGACCATCACGACGTGATGCCCAGAGAGGCTGGCCGGGATCTCTATCTTGTACGAGAAGAGGCACGGCGTGACGCCCCCGGTGTATCTCGGGGGCAACGCAGGCTGGGCGCTCGAGGGGGAAGAGGAAAGAGAACCAGGAAGAGGACGGCGGATGATGGGAAAACTGTGGAGGGCTGAGCGGGAGGAGAAGGATGGGCAGGGAGCAAGAAACCTCTGGGCAGCAGTTTGTTTGCGGGGACGGTCCCCCCCCCCCGACATCTTCGACCGCCGCTCTTTCGCCAAAGCCCAGGTCAACAAGCAGACAGCCGAACGCCGTGATCAGGACAGTAAGCGCGCCAAGCTTCTCACTGACGCGTCAAGAGCAGTGTCCTCGTGCTCCTCACCATGCGGCGTCCCCTCCTCGGTCCCATCTCCACTCCTCCCTCATCCCCTCTTCTGTCTCCTCTCGTTCGGGACGGAATGGGCGGGGGGATGTGTGGGACGCGGGAAAATAGGACAGGCAGAATAGGAGGAACGTCGGAATGCTTTTTGTTGCAATGTATGAGACGTGGCGGAAGGGCTGCATGTTAAGAAGGCGAGGCGTGCTTCTGCAATCTTGGAAAGGCTGGGAGACTTCCACAAAGGCTTCGTAAAACAAAAAATGCCTTGGTTTTGTGTTTGTTGTTCACCCCCGGGATGTCCGTTAATGTCTCAAAACGATTCTAAAACAATCAAAAGGGGGGGACAATTTTAAAAACATAGTCATTCCCAACACTGTAGGGCAACAACAAACAAAACGAAAGCGGGGCAAACCGGACCGACGGGGACGTCCCCGCGACCGCCCTGGCGCTCCGCGTACAAGGGCGGAATCCTGCGTACCCCGTCTTGGCGTCAGGCCACGCACACCACGCCTTGCGAACTTGGGATTCTTCAACCTCATAAGAAACAGCAGGTGACACGTTTCACCCACGAAGCCGTGTGGGAAAAACCGTTTCTTAATTTGAAGTTCGGGGAGCCAGCAAAACTCCATTCATCCTAACAAAAAACAGCGGGTGCCACGTGTCACCCCCGAAACCGTCTGAGTAAAACCACATTAAATTTGGGATTCTGGAAGCCAACAGAAAACCACTCAACATCACACATAACAACGGGTGACACGTGTCACCCCCGAAACCGTGTGAGACAAAACAAGTATAAAGTTTGAATTCCAGGAGCCAACATCAGGCCACCCAGCTGCGCAAAAACAACGAGCAACACTTGTCACTTGTCAATGTGAGATTCTGGGAGCCAGCAAACGCCATTCAGCCCCTGTGTGAGAAAACCCAATTGTGAGGATTCTGGGAGCCAACATAAGGCCACCCAACCTCAAAAAGGAAACTGGTGACACGTGTCACCCCCGAAACCGTCTGAGAAAAAAACAAATATAAATTTGGGTTTCTGGGATCCAAAAGAAGCCACTCAACATCATACAGAACAACGGGTGGCACGTGTCACCCCCGAAACCGTGAGAGAAACACACTTATAAATTTTGGATTCCAGGAACCAACATCAGGCCATTCAATTTCACAACAAAAAAAACGGGTGACGCGTGCCACCCTCGAAACCGCGTGAGAAAAAACTAAAAATAAAACAAGGCTTCTAGGAACCCAAAGAAGGCCATTCAACCGCGAAAAAAAACGTGCGCCACGCGCCACCCCCGAAACCGTCTGAGAAAAAAACATGCGTGAATTTGGCATTCTGGGTGCCAGCATAAGGCCTTTGACCGGTGGCACATGTCTCCCTCGAAACCACGTGGGACAAACCAATTATAAATTTGGGGTTCAGGGAACCCACATGAGGCCATTCCGCCTCACAAGAGCAACGGGTGACGCGTGTCCCCCCCGAAACCGCGCGAGAAAAACCATTTGTAAATTTGGGTTTCTGGGAGCCAGCGCAAGGCCACCGAACCCCACAAAAACAGCGGGTGCCCAGCGTAGATTTGGATTCTGGGAGCCAACAAAAGGCCACTCAACATCAAACAGAACAACGGGTGACACGTGTCACCCCCGAAACCGTGTGAGAAGAGCACACTTAGAAATTTTGGATTCCAAGAGCCAACATCAGGCCACCCAGCCGCGCAAAAACCACGTGCAACACGTGTCACCCCCGAAACCGTGCAAGAAGGAACACTTGTAACTGTTGACCCTGGGAGCCAACATAAGGCCATCCAACCTCACACGAACAACCGGTGACACGTGTCAACCCCGAAACCGCGTGAGAAAAACCCATCGAAAATTCTCGGGTTGTGGGAGCCATCGTAAAACCATTTAGCCCCACAAAAACAACGAACGAAACGCGCGACCCCCGAAACCGCGTGAGAAAAACAAATTAAACATTCTGATTCTGCCAGCCAACATGGGGCCATTCAACCTCACAAAAACAACGGGTGGCGGGGGTCATCCCCGAAACGGCGTGAGAAAAACCATTTGTCAAGTTAGGATTCTGGGAGCCAGCATAAAACCATTCCCCGAAACCGCGTGGGAAAATAAACAAGTAAATATTGACAAAAAAAACCACGAGCGTCTCGCACCACCCGCGAAACGGCGTGAGAAAAAATACTTGTAAGTCTCGGATTCTGGAAGCCAGCATGAGGCCAGTCGGCCTCGCCACAGCAACGGGTAACACGTGCCATCTCTGAAACCATGTGGGAAAATTAATTTGGAAATCTGGGATTCTGGGAGCGGCTAGTCAACCTCACAGAAAATAACGGACAGCACGAGCCATCCCCGGAGTGAGAAAAAACACATTCTTAAATTCAAGGTTGTGGGATCCAACGTACGACCATTCAACTTCACAAAAGAAAAAAACGGGTGACACGTGTCACTTCCGAAACCGTGCGAGAAAATCGAAGGTGAAAATATTGGATTTTGGGAGCCAGCAAAACGCCAGTGAGCCTCACACCGCGCGCGAGAACTGGACGCCACCGCACGCACGCGCGCGCAGTCGCGTGCGTACGCACGTACAGTGTCCCAGAAAGACGACAACGACCTACTCGTCGACCGAAGTAGCCTGCACTTCTGCACACGTGCAATTCATGCACATATACCAATGCATGCGCGTGCGTGCGCGTGTATACGTATACATATGTATGTCTGTATGTATGTATGTATGTATGCATGTATGTGTATATACATATATATGTATATGTATGTATGTGTATACACAAACAACCACGTGTGCATTGATTTATCGCATCGTTGGGCCCCCGTGGAATAGTTTCCAGGGGGGGCACTTGAAAAATAATTATTCGGCGGCGAAAAAAAACGGCAGTCGGGATCCAGGAGGGGAGAAGGAGGGGTTATTCCCTACCTAGGCTCTGCCTAGAAGGGTTCTTACTATTAGGCTTAAAGGGCCGGGCAGTGGGGCACGCCCCAGGCGGTTCCCCCAGGATCCGCCCCGCGGTTCCCCCAGTGACGTTCCCTTTGCTTCGCGTTGCTTATCTCATCTTAGCTTAGCTTATTTCATCTTACCTTAGATTAGTGTAATCTTACCTCAGTTTTATCTTAGCTTAGCTTACCTTCATCTTAGCTTCGCTGAGCTTTAGCATAGCAGAGCACAGCACAGCATAGCATAGCGCAGCATCGCATATCATAGCATGGGTGTAATTCCCTACCTAGGCTCTGCTTAGAGGGTTAGCTTAGCTTAGCTGAGTATATTTAGCTTTAGCTTAGCTTTAGCTTAGATTTACCGTTACTACTAATGCTGCTTTCCTAGGGGCTCCAACTCCTAGGTAGGGTCGCGCTGGGATTATTTTTTGTTCAAGCAAATTTTGGACATTACGGGGGGGGAGGCCCCCGGGGAGGGTCACGGTAACGTGGTCGGACCAACCGGGATGTGGACCCTGGGCGCCGGACGACGACGACGACGACGACAGCCGCCTCTGAAGGTCTCCAGAGGTCTCCGGAGGCCTCAGCAGGTATCTGAAGCCACTGGGGGCGTCTGAAGGACCTCCGAGGCCTTTGGAAACGACGACGACGATGACGACGACGACGACGTCGTCGACGACGAAGATGACATCGACGACGACGACAACGGCGACGGCGACGGCGACGACGACAACGACGACGATGATAACGACGACGACGACGATGACGACGATAACGACGACGATCATAACGGCGGCCTCTGAAGGTCTCCTGCGGCCTCAGGAGAAGGCGTCTGGAGGAACTTCGAAGCCATCGATGACGACCACCATGACGACGAAGACGACGATGACGACAACGGCCAGCTTTGGAGGCCTTCGGATGCGTGTGAACACCACACCATGCCTGTGAGCACGGCAAAATGCCTGTGAACACGGGCCACCCCCCCCCGTACCTTCGCTGCCGCTGCGGAAGGGGGAGCGGCCCCCGGTAACGGACGTGACGGGCTCAACAAACAAAAAAACAAAAAACAGCCTCCTCCCAGGAAGCCCCCGTGCCCCTTCAAAACGCCGATCTCCTGACGCGCCCCCCAAAAAAAAGAGGGAAAGGGGAGGGGGAGCGGAGTGTGGGGGGAGGGGCAGAAAGGGAGGGGGAGGAGACCCAGTGGGCTGATGCCTCGATTCGCCTGCAGGGCGTGCCCGGAAAGACAAAGAAGAGCGCGATCGGGGGCCACAGAACAAGCACAATGTCAATGTCAACGACGCGCGTGTCCTTTACACTTTCCTACCGGCCCCCCGAAATGGGCCCGAGTGGATGGGGTCGGAAAAATATCGCCGCATCGACTATGCATCTGCGACGTCGGCGTTGAGGGAATCGGCCTGCATATCGCGCCGCATCGCCGACGCATCGGCGATGCGGCGCGATCCTTCAACCCCATCCAATCGGACCTCGTTTGAAGCGGCCTGGATGTCTGCCCCCCCCCCACCCCCCCCCTGAATGGAACAATAACCGTGTGCGGGCGATAATGAACACCCTGGGGTAATAAAGTTCGCGGGACTGGCGGGGATAGAAAACTGCTTTCCCTGGGGAGGTAACTTATAATGATGGCGACGATGATGATGGTGA